CTCACTAACTCCTCCTAGTGGTTGGTTCATTGTGGGCTCCTGAAAGAGCAAGCCAGGTGAAGTGAATTACTTTCTCCCATGGAATATAAAGTAGATGGAAAAACACTCAGGCCTGTGTGCAAAGACCTCTTTCAGATCCACAGGAGAGCGAGCAGCTGCTGATTTCTCACAAATTGGAGGACTCAATCAGCCATGGCCCCCATGTATGTTAGGGTTACCGCATATGGGCACCTGTCCTGCAGAAACTCCAGAGAGACTCAGCACACTCCTGTTGTTCACTGTATCAGTGTTGCTGTGGGTTTCAGACTTATATTTCAGACGCATGAAAGGAAAACTACAGGGAGCATGGTGATGTGTCCTAGTGGAGCCATCGCTGATGCATTTCCTGATGAATGTGGACAAGGACGGCACATGGGCAGTCAATACAGGAGAGCTTGGGACCCACCCAGGAGCTGAGGATAACAAACCCTGAACAGAGACAATGAGTCTGACAATATGAACAATCTGTTGCCTTTAATGGATCAAGGATGATTAGATCTGTCTTTGATTTAGAAGAGGATGCACTTGTTCAGGATGCTGTGTGTGAAAGGGGGTTCATGCAGTGAAGCAGCCCTTGATAAATGGTACAGGAGATGACACAGCATGGCCTAGAATGCAGATCAAATACCAACACAGGGTCTGCAGCTGGCAGGCAGAGGGCAGAACCAGGCAATATGCTAAGACATCATGTGTGGTTTTCAGGCAAATGTGTTAATGTGTTCAAGAGATACTTTATCAAAATGCTGCCTGTTGTTTCCTCCAACAGCTGAGAAACAGGGAAAGGCTGAAATGGGATAGACCTTGAAGGTGCAGCAGTGATGCAGTAAGCAGGAGTTGCAAAAAGAGGAGATGGTGCAGGATACAAGATGGGTCGTAGACCGTGAATTAGGAAATGAAGCAGGTTCGAGGGCCCGCTTAGGGGTTAGTTATATATTAACTACATGAGACATGATAATGTGGAAACAGGAGTGTATTCAGGCATAGAGCTTTCCAGAATCATTTTCTGTTAGTAAAATGCACCAAGCACAGGCTGATATTTCTATATTTAAGAGAACAATGCCAACTCCATGGGATTCCCTTTAAACAATAGATTCAATGGGAGGTACTTGGATTAGTAAACCAATCATAACTTTGATGTCTGTTTTATGGCGTCCAGATGTGATGAGCTAAATCCACTTAAAAACCTGAGAGAGCTTAATTTTAAACAAACAAACAAACAAAAAAAAAACAGAGTTTAACAGAGTTTTACTCTTTGTTGGTGGCATGCCATAGAGAGATTTCCTGATTCAACACCAGCAACAAAAAAAAGCTGCGTCATTTTAAAGCGTGGCTTCCTGGGGCTGTGCTACCAACATAAACTCTTTAAAACATTTCAATGGCTTTTATGGGACTGGATTTTATGTTCCTGTTTGGGATCGAAAGGAGAGTGTTCTGAGACCGTGTCAATGGCTCAGCGATCCCCACCTGCACCTGGGCCGATGGCAAAATCAGGCTTAGGCAGGCAGAAGAGCATGACAAATTCCTGCCGCCATACAGAAACATGTTTTCAGACTGCGCAGTACTCTGCATGTCAGATTTGGCTGTAACTTGGATAAAGAGTTTCTGTGCCACACACTCAGTCTCAAAGTTAAAGTGCTAGATGCGGCTCCTACCTGGCAGCCCCAAAGCTAGTAAAAAATGGTACAGCCTCCATTTTAAAATTAAAAAAAAGTAAAGCCAACATCCAAAACAGCCCTTCGCCCTGCAGCTCAGAGGCACAACTGATTCAGTCACAAATGGCTCCTCCATGTTGGACTGGGCGGGCAAGCCTACAGTACCTGTTTCTTACCTAAAAATGTCACAGCTTAGATTCTTAAGCACTTAATGATTTAAAGGCACAAAACAAAATGCTCCTAAATAGTACGAAAATTACAAATTCACAATAAAACAAATTTCAAACATAAAAGACCTTTATAAATCACAATGTTGGATAAATGTACATAGGCTTAAAAAAAGGATAAAGTCTTGAAAAAAAAAATAAAATGATAAAATAAAAATAAGCCACATAAGAATAAAAAATTCACAAAGAGTCTATATTATGTACAATGTGTTTTCTTTAAAATTTTTAACTATAAAGGAACTAAATACAGAGAGACATTTCATTATATGGGCTGCCAAATAAAACCAAAACAAATATCATGAGGGTATGACTTCAAAATTTGGGTCTAAGAATATGATACTTTGGAAAGAGTCTTCTTTTGTTTTCACAGAAGATGAAACTCTATAAATTACTTCTATCCCAATTGGGATAGAAGGGCATGGGATAGACCATGCCCTCCTAAAAGATTGCTGTAAACACCCTCAAAAAATTACTTCACTCAACTGCCAACTGAGATAAACCTGACACACAGGTTACACCATAAAAGACCCAAATAACAGCGCCCCCATTCAACAAAAAACAGTTTAAAAAAAACTGTGCCCATATTCCCAAATATTGTTTATAAATGTTCTTTTACATTTAAAGGAAGATATGATATAACACCAGCTACTTCAAAAAAAAGATAAACATCAAAAAAGATCCTTATGGAGCTAAATAGTCATTTGGACAAAAAGCTGTTCTTGCCTGGAGTGTTACATAAACTAGACACAAAAAACCCACAGAGAGAGGACTACTAAACTTGCCTAAAGATGAGATGGTTTTTCGGGGTTCCTGACTCATAAAAGAGTCTGTGAGACATTCTACAGGACACAACAAAAAATGAATAAACTGTCTTTAAAATTTCCCGCTTCATAAAAATGTCTACTGGATACTATGGGCCTAAAGGCTAAAGATGGATGCTCCAACGGTACAAAAAAACTTTGGGTGACTGTCCAGGCAGCAAGATGTCTCTGTCATTTCTAGAATTTGGACTTCTTGTTTGCTTAGATAATATTATATCTTTCTAGAGTCTTTAATGGAGTTAAAAAATGGTTAATTATAGTTATAGTTTTCCTTAGTTATAATAAAAGATAAAATAGATATAAATATTGTAACTATAATTTTTACTTAATAACTGTTTTGTTATATGTAATTTTGCTATGTTAAAGTTAAAGCCTTCCTTTTTTTTGTTTAAACAAAAAAAGAAAAAATGATGGAGGAAGGTCATTCGTTAAAAAAATAAAGAAACTGCTTGGCCCTCATAGGTTAAAACATAGGAGGGTGGAGTAAACAGAACAGAATGCTGGGAGGAAGAGGAAGTGAGGTAAGATGCCTCAGACAGACGCCATGCTCCCCTCTCCCGGGCAGATGTGAAGAAACTCTGACCCAGGATGGACATAGGCTAGAATCTTCCCGGTAAGCACACCTTGGGGTGCTACACACATTAATAGAAATGGGCCAACCAGTGTTTAAAGGAATACAATTTGTGTGTTGTTATTTCGGGGTATAAACTAGCCAGGCAGCTGGGAGCAGGGTGGCAAGAACACAGCCCGCAGCTCCTACTACAGTTTTATTTGCATTTTATGATCATTTAGAATCATTGAATGTGACCGAATAAAAGATACTGTAAGCAGAAGCTGTGTACAAAGGCAGCAGTGTAGACAAATACTGTTGCAGATGTGGAGATGGATAGAGGCCCAGGAGGTTGAGTATCCCGCACTGCTTCTCTTGTCTCTGTCATCTTGAGAAACTCACCTGTGCCAGACTTGAATGTAATATCCAGATCCACTATCAGGCCACAACTCAAAGATATGCACGGTGCCTATATTACCTCATGCATATTAAGATTCATAGAAAGAGCTGGAGTCTGTTGGAAGTGGTCTTGAGAACACAAAGAAAGAGACCACCACTCCCACTAAAGCATCTTAACAATGCAACTTATAATCAGGAAAGTAGATGCTCACAGAAGTGGAAGAGCAAGCATACCTGGAGAGTAAGCTGTAGTTTTTATCCCTGTTAACACTATTATCCATGACCAAAGGAAAGAAAGTGGTTGTTCGGATGAACTGAGGTCCAGCTTCACAGTGTATGCACAGTTAGCTAGTTTGGAAAAGAATTATGAACAGTGAAGAAGGCAGAGAGAAGAGGAGGTCACTGGATGTATAGATATTCCATTTTCTTTTTTAAAAAAGGAAAGGAAATTGGTTCCATCTGTCTGGAAGAACATGTCTAACACTTGAAGAGAAGTGGGCCTTTAGAATGGGACATTGGGAATGGAGGAAGAAAGTTTAAAGGGCTCAGGAGTATTCAGGGTTGAAGGAAAAACAGCATTTATTTTATAGTATTTGACAAGAAAAAATGATCATTTAATATTTCTTACAGGATTGGTTATTATTGACTCATAGGGGTATCCAAGGAGATATGAGGAATAGATATCTGACTTTTTTGCCTCATTGTACCCTAGGGACAATGGAACTGATTTCCATGATCAAGGTACAGGCAATGTTAGCCTAGAAGCAGAGGGCGGAATGGACTGGGAAAGAATCCTTGCAGTAGCCGGGCAGTGGTGGCACACGCCTTTAATCCCAGCACTCGGGAGGCAGAGACAGGCGGATCTCTGTGAGTTCGAGTTCAGCCTGGTCTACAAAGGGAGTTCCAGGACAGGCTCCAAAGCTACAGAGAAACCCTGTCTCAAAAAAAAAAAAAAAAAAAGGAATCCTTGCAGTAATAGAGATGAACAGACAGTAGGTGAGATGCTGTGGTAAAGTGTAGTAGTGATCTGTGCTTAAGACACAGATACGGCCGGGGTGACAGCAGAGCTCCTAGGCCTGTCCCTGCCCTGTAGTGAGAATGAAGCAGTTCAAGACCAAAGATCTCCTCGGAGAGTCTAGGTCGTCCCAGGCCTCCTTTCCCACCCCTGCAGAGATGTGGCTCTTCCTTTGTGTATGTTTCCACTGAGGCTGCCAAGACCCTTGTGAGCCCTGCTGCTAAAGGTCAGCTTCCATGGTAGCCTGAGGAGTAGCTAGGTAGGCTTTCAGTTTTGGGGAGTCCTAGCAGTAATCACTAGCTCTGGCTGACTCCTTTCACCCTGGGCTCTGAAAGGACAGGAAAGCACTGCTGAGTCTCCTCAGTGAGCACAGGGTGAGCTCTAACAGGACAGGAGGACAGCACTGCTAGGTCTCCTCAGTGAGCACAGGGTGAGCTCTAACAGGACAGGAGGACAGCACTGCTGAGTCTCCTCAGTGAGCACAGGGTGAGCTCTAACAGGACAGGAGGACAGCACTGCTAGGTCTCCTCAGTGAGCACAGGGTGGGCTCTGACAGGATCATCAGTCACCACAGCACACAGCCCTCAGAATCCAGCTGAATTCCACTAGATCATATCCATTGATCTTCCGAAAAGATTGCCACATCCAGAAGAAATCTTTAACACTCTTACAAAAATAAAGGAAATAATACATTCTTAACTCTCCCACAGAGAATACCATCAGATTATTTCATTGGTATGTGATTTACTATGAAGATATATATTTGGGGTTCCTCAAAGCATTCATTATTAAGGGAACATATTCCAGTAACTATCAAATGAATTTAATGCACTACAGTCTCCACTTTTTGCCTATACAATAGTCTGCCCCATACACTCATTTCACTGTCTGTATGTTTCGCTAGTCATTGTACAAATTTCAAATCCATCATTCTTCTCCTACATCACTGCACCCAATTCCCACCACTTTGTCTCAGCCAGCAACACCAGAGACACTATGTCCCTGGACACACTTGCTGTGCTGAGCAGGAAATCAGGTAGATGAACTTCAATCTCCTTCCCATCCTCCAATCCCAGTTCCCAGTCTTATTCTCAGCTTTAGAGCAGGCCACCTGTTCTGGACTTTCCTTTTTTCTGTCCCCATTCCTGGGAGAGTAAACAAATCCTCATTCTCAGCCTTCTCTTCATCCCATCCCTTTGTCTTGGTCACCTTCACTGGAGACAGTCTGTCACTGCAGCCCTTCTGGCCATGCTGACCATGGAAGCAAATAGGCAATCTTCCCTCTCCTTCTGTCCTCCATTTTCAAACACTCGGTCTCATCCCTAACCCTGTACCAGACCACGTGCTGGATAGGGACTTGATTTCACCCTCTTTCTCCAACTCCCTGGGGACTTTAGAGATCCAGATGGCTGACCAAACTTTTCTCCCTCCTTATGTATCTGTTGAGACACTTGCCAGTCTAGCTCATCCTACTCTTTCCTGCAATCTCCCAATACTAGAAACACTGCCCACCTGAAACCACTAGTGGCCATACCTGGGAGAGACTTAGAGCACTCTCTATAAGCTACCACAGCCACTGCACCCCTCCAAAAATTCTGAGAGAGCAACACAAACTAAGGAAGGAAAAACCTACCCAAAAGACAGGCAAGACCAGATATCAACTACTGGAAGTGAAATCCTTCTAAGCCCAGATGTCTGGATGTCAGCATGAGGACAGAATCAAAACAGCCCCAACAGTGTGTCTCCATTAGAGTTCATCAGTAGGACTTCAGTAGTTCCTGAGCAAGGCAAACAGCTGACACACAGAACAAGGACTTCAAAATAGCTATTATGAAAATGGTCAAGGACCTTAGGAGGACATGAATGAATGTGTTAATGGAAATCTTTGGAACACAAACAATGGATCTGAATGAAGAAGACAGGTCAAGGCTACACGTGAAAAAAAGAATCAATGAAGACAAGTGGAACCAAGGGAGAACTGGAAAAAGACTGGAGCAAGAACCCTAGACGTAAGATTTCCTGACAGAATATAAGAGATGGAAGCAAAAATCTCAGATATTGAAGACAAGATAGAAGAAAATGGATTTCCCAGTCAATAACAGTGTTAAATCTAATAAAATTTCAAGCACAAAGCACCATAAAAATTGGGATATAATGTAAAGGACAAATCCATGATTAAGGGGAATAGAAGGAGAAGAAAGCAAGGTCAAAGAAACAGGAACTGTTTCCAATAAAATCATAGAAGAAAACTTCCCTAACCGAAAGATTGAGCTTCCTATTAAGGTAAAAGAAGCATACAGAACTCCAAATAGACTAGATCATTGAACAAATCATACTTGGCACAATATAATCACAACAATAAAACAAAGAATGTTCACGGGTATAATAAAAACATCAAGTAACATATAATGGCAGGAATTATTAGAATAAAATGATGACTGACATACTAATACTGACTATCATTATGACTAGGGTGAGCAAGGCACCATATAGGACTCGGTCAAGATTTCATCTACATGATGTAGCCAATGAAGTGTATTCCAGACAATTGATAAGCTGTCACAAAGAACCATACTCCTATTGACCAGGACAGGACCATCAGCCTCTGCAGAGGAGAGCGCTCAATTGGGATGGTTGGTGTAGATCAAGGCCACGATACAGAAACTCATCATCTACCACAAGGAGATGCACATTGGACACAAATTCACTACACCTGACTGATCTCAAGATTAGACCCCTGAAAAGCATGTCAGCTGGCTTGCCCCTGGTGACCCAGGAAGATGCTCCCTATATGTATGGTTGACAGAAGACTGCAGGCAGTTCACTCAACAAGGCTGCACACAATACGACTGGCCGTCATCTGCAGCTCCTTGGCAATCAGGTTTCCTTCTAAACTAAAGCCTGATGATGGCCCTGGGCTCAAAGATGTTCCGAGTTTGTTGACTTTTTCTGGGCAGTGATGTTTCCCAGTTCTTTTAAGCACTGTTTACCCATTTCCAGTACAAACACCTATCTTGCTGTTTACTCAAAGTCAAGGAATTCCCCATGGGGACATCTGTCTGAATAATCATTGGATGGGACAACAGCACCTTGGGGCATGAAAGATGAAGGCTTGAACATAAGCAGATGTTACCAGATCAATCCAAGCCTCGGTCAAGCAGAAAGAGGAAGAGGCTCCTGAAAACATGTGGCTTCTCTTCTCTGCAGCCACATTGAGCACCTTAGGACGAGAGCAGATTCCTCAGGCAGCACTCACCTGCTGCAGCTTGGAGCAAGCTGGAACCCATGAGGAAGACAGGGTCGTCTTGTCGGGGTACCCATGCACCATTTGCTCCTAACCTCCTCTTCAGGGGAATTTTGCTCCTCTCCTTCTTGGTTGTGGACCCTGTCACCACCCACACATTCATCCCTTACTTTTCTGCACTCGGAATGGAAATTCCTCTGGATAAATCACCTCTTCCCCATCCAGACGCAAGCCCTTTCTTCTGCCCTCTCTCACTGCTTTAATCCCTTGACATGTCCCACTTGCCCCACTCCTCCTTCCCCCTCCTCTTCCTGTGCCTCCTTACCACCTAAGAGGAAAGCGTGCAAGCACTTCTTTACATGTGCTCATTGATTCTGTTGATGGAAGTGAGGGGAGAAGGAGATGGGGACCCAGAGTCATCTGGGACACTTAACTTTTCTCATGTGGACTCGGAGCGGGATGGATGCCTTGTCATCGCTCAGGATGATGTGACAGGATTCTTTGTCCAGCTACTTCTTCTGGGGACAAATGAAGTTCACCCTTGCACCCAATAGGAGAGGGGGGTACAGAGCTCATGCCCTGGTGGCTGGAGCTGTCTATCAGGTAGAGGTTTGGGGCACACCTCCTTTCATGTTGTGGCCTGGCTTGCTCCAGAAGCTGTTATGCCCCAACCAGGCCGAACACAGACCCGGGGTTTAGGAACCCCTGGTCAGGGCCGCATCGTCAGCCCTTGAAAAGAGAGAAACAAAGGACTGTTTTAGTGACATTGACATAGAAAGACTTAGCAAAAAGCTGATCTGAGGAACCAGAGTTCTCCACAGACTTCTTCCCTTCCTAAACTGTTATCCCTTTGAAAGTCTTTTTTTTCCTCCAGTTTCCCTACATCCGCAAGCCCTGCCAGCAACCTCTGCTGTCTGCTTCTGTCACAACAATGCTAGACTCTTCATGAATAGGATTCAGTGTGAAAGCTCCTTTTGGGGTTCCAGACACCTTAATGTTTGGGTCCTATAAATGGCTGAAGCCAGCCCATGGCAAAGTGCCTTCAAAAAATCAGCTAAAATCACATGTGATTAACTGGCCCCAGCCACTCCATTTCCTTACAACTGCGTTTTCCATTCTTTGTTATTACTCACCTGGATGTTGTATCTGTTGTCCTTGGCATGCAGAGGCAGCAGAAAAACCTTTGAAAAAGGTTTCTATTGGCCTTCACCTTAGCCTCCTCAGAAGTCCTCTCAGATGTTAAGTTTGCAGCATTTTCGGCGGTCTCGGGTGTCTCTAATGCCTTCATATCAGCACCCTGTGGGGCAGAATTAGCAGGTCAGTTAAGATCTGATGTATAAATCAGGGGAGCTGGACTTAGAGAAGCCCTTGCTAGTTTTGTCATTTACCTCCTGGCCTTTGTTTACCTCGGGTTCTATCAGGAATGTTGGCAGGGCCAGCTCACTCCATCTTCTCCTCAACGGAAACCGAGGGAGGGTGAGAAGATGGGAAAGCCTCCTGGAGTAGCAGACCTGTGGATGATATTGGCTTTTCCACCTGTAGATATGATGTTTCTGATAAAATAAGTCGTTTTTGGCTAAGGTCTCATTAAATCTATTTGGCACAGTTGTGTCGAAATTCTCTTCGGCCATTATGTGAGTCATTGAGCAGGTTGCATTTACAAGACTTGAAATGGAGTACTCCGAAGCTGATTTCCGGAAAGCTTGTAAACTGTCATCAGTGAAATTGACACAAAATACTTTATCTGCTATGTCCTCCATCTTTTCTGGTGGGGAATGGCTCTGCAACAAGATGCTAGAAATAAAAAAAAGCAACATCAGCACTAGGAGACAAAGTGATAACTATCAGTTTGTACGTCAAAAAATCAAAAGTCTCACAAGCATCTTAATGATGCATCTTAGTGGTCAAAATGCAAAAAACAAACAAACAAAGCACAACATTCCAACCTCAAAACTGTTATGAGAAAGAGTAAAAAAGAACAGAGCTAGAGATAACTTGGCAGTTGAAACAAAGAACTGGTCCTTTGAAAGGATGAACAAATCTGACAACCCTTGACATGAACCCCCAATCGAAGGCACATTTTGTTGAAATGTGAGACAGGAAAGAGATGAGTAA